GAAGTATACTAGTCTATTTCTGTACAGCTGTAGATGTGATTTCCTTCTGTTTCATTATTTTTTTGTAGCTTGGGCTTTTTTTTTTTTTAACTTGCATAAAATTCTAATTGTCAAATATAAGGAATGATTAGTTAACTGTGTTCTTGCATCCCATCTCTAAGTGTTTAAATGCATCTAAAAAGATCATTTGAATTATTTGAAGTTTTATCACTAAAATATTTTTGTTTGGATATAGTAAGTATAGTTGTTTTTCCTGTTTCTGTTTCAAAAGTTTCACTGGTGATCGTGGTTTGTTTATGTATTTATTTATTTATAATGATATGAAAAAAGCCAAACATTCTACTCCGTCAAAGCAGACTTGTGCCTCAGTTTGTTAGGAAAAGACAAGCTGATTAAGATGGATGTAGGAAATCTATTGTTTCGATTTGTTTTATTTAGGCAGTTAAGCTTTATGGAGGTTATAATTGTCTTTGTTTCTTTTTTCTTTTCTCATTACTCCCTCCTGCCCCTTTTTAGGTTACACATGTTGAACCATGGGAAAAGGGGAGTAGAAAAACGGCAGGCCAGACAGGGATGTGCGGAGGGGTAAGTAGAAGTACGTGCCTTCTTAAATTTTTATGTGTCTAGTAAATAAATATCCTAAGCCTAGCTAAAATATAAAACTACATTTTCTCAGTCCCTATCTGAAAGAGTATTTATTATAAAGAAATGTTTTATTCTTCTTACTTTCTGAAACCCTGGAGAGGCTGCCATGTAGTGATACTTTTTTCACAGTGTTTTCTGTAGGTTTAGATTTTATCCTGTTTTAGTGTTTATGTACTCTTGTAGAGTCAGGATAAGGTCTTTGTGACTTCCTATGTTGTCATCTAACTTTTTTTCTGTTTAAAGGTACGTGGTGTTGGAACTGGAGGAATTGTATCAACTGCCTTTTGTCTGCTCTACAAACTATTTACACTGAAACTTACCCGTAAGCAAGTGATGGGCCTTATAACTCATACAGATTCTCCATACATTAGGGCTCTTGGATTTATGTATATTAGGTAAATATCAATATAATTAACTAATGACTAGCTTAATATACAGGAAAAAGTATTAAGATTTTGTGTCCTTTTTCAACTTCAAGGTACACTCAGCCGCCTACAGATCTGTGGGACTGGTTTGAATCCTTTCTTGATGATGAAGAGGTATGTCGTCAAGGGTAATAATTTGTTTTCTTTTGTTTCTTTTCATGTTACTACTTTAGGTTTAAATGTTCTCTGATAAGCTTTATTGTAGTTTGAATGTTAACAATGTTGTATTTATTTTTTTCAAATCATTAATTTAGCATGGGAAGCAGGTTTGAGCTAGCAACTGGGTTCTTGTTCTCGGATTTCCAAGATTTAAGTCTTCCATGGCTTAGTATATTGTCAGTTGTGTGTCAGTTATTACAAGATCATGTGAAACAAGTTTATGACATAAGGATGCAAACAGCAGGCTGCATGAGTGTGGTATCTGTGCGTTTTTAGAAAAAACAATTGTTTATAAGCAAGGTATAGTAAGTGTGCTTAGAATGCTGAATTTGTATTTGTATTTCTTACAGGGGTAGGGAGAATTGGTGCTTACATGGAGCAGTGGGAAGAACATAGTAGAAAAGTATATTTGTCTTTGAGAAATAATACCGGAAATATCTCTGGTCATTACTTGTGTACTGGCATTACTGTAGACTAAATTTCTTCTGAGGAAAAGCAAGCATCTTATTTACTGCATAAGACAGCGCTGTTCTTATTAAACTTAATGTATGGGACAATGAAAAGCGGTACAAGTTGCTAACTTTGGAAGTTCAGTAAGAGAGCATTATTATGTAGTACAATAGGAA